TGAGACTGTGTAATTTGTAAGAAACAGAGTTTTACTTGGCTTATGATTCTGGGACAGTCGCATCTGGCACAGACCTCAGGCTGCTTCTACCTATGGCAGAAAGCAGCAGGCAGCCAGCAGGTACAAGCAGATCACATGGCAAGAGGAAGCAAGAGAGAGAGAGGGGAAGGTGCACGGGTCTCTTAAAAACGAGCTCTCGCGGGAACTAATAGAACGAGATCTCACTCAGGCCCACCTTCCCCAAGGAGAGCATTAAACCATTCATGAGGGATCCTCCCCTGTGACTAAAACAGCTCCCAACACTGCCACGTTGGAGATCAAATTTCCACATAAATTTTTTGGGGGACAACACATCCAAACTCCATCACACTCCCACCCACAAATGTTTATTAAATTTGTAAGCTGTGTGAAGAGAATTGACACTAAACAAATTCAGATCATGGTAAGTATGCTGAAGGAGTAAGTTGGGTGGTAAGGTAGAAGATAATGGGGCAGCAGGTGCAACTATTTCTGAGAAGGTTGGCAGAGAAACACCTCTCTAAAAGTAGCGGCACTAGAGACAAGGCCTGAGTGATGAGAAGAAGCCAGCTGAGGGGAAATCCTTGGCATTAGCATGCTAGGCAGAGGAGAAAGCATTAAAAAGTGTCTTGAGCTCAGAAGAGGAAAATGAACCAAGAGCATCTCTTAGGAAGTTTCTAGAAAGATAAAGGAAATAATAAGTAGCTTACGGTTCTTTTTCTACTGGCTTCTATTATTCTGTAAGGAAACCTCTTTTCAAATTTTTTATGGGAAAATGGTCTCATGTATCTATTAAGTGCCTTTTCTTAGCTTAAAAAATGTATTCCACAGACTACTGGCCAGGAAGAGTGTGTTCCTTTCCAGATAAGTTGTCAGCTTTGAAACAAACATCTAACATAAGAGTTTATAGTCACAAAATTCCACCACAAGTAATACAGACTCTTGAAGTAAACTATGTCTGGTTTCTGTGTGCTAAACATGTATTAAATTTCTTCTTAGCTTAGTCAGAATTTATAATATTTAGTTTAAATCCAAGGATTACAATGAAGAAATAATTTGAAAGAGAATTCTTTAGCTTTTTCCTCCTAAATTGATATATAATTAGTGCTTCTAAAACACTAGTAGTATTTTGGATCAAGTTTTATGTATCTGTTGAAAAATTTTTTATTTCTTTTAATGTCTTTTATATATCGACTTTATTTATTCATCTCAAACTCAAATCTTATGAGTCAGAACTCTTTTAGATGTAAGTGGCAGAAATACAACTCAACTAAACAGGTAAAAGGGATATTTATTAAAAGAAACTAGGATATCTTAAAACCAGAAGAAAATCAAGCAACTAAAGTGAGAGAAATGGCAGCTAGAACTTGGGAATAAGTAGAATTAGAAATTAATGACACCGGGACACTTTCCATGACTCTTGACTGCATTCTGGCTTCATTTTTTTGCCACATACCCCAAAGCCTCACATTTCACAGGCTGTGCTACTGGGAACAGATTCTGGTAGTTCAGTTAGGTTGCTCTGCTAGTTGGTCTACTAGTTATAGCAGCAAATAAACTGTCAGGCATGGTGCCAAATGTTGTGCTTGTATTAATCCATTTAATGACTTTAGGAATGCTCTGCACGGGGGGTTATCATCATGCACTTCTACAGATGAGAAAACTGAGGTATGGAGCAGTTAGGAAACTTGACTAATGTCACAGAACTTTGAAGTGTGGCACAGCTAGGTTTCACACCCAGGCAAGTCTGGTACCTACCAGAACTGACAGTTAGCCAGTATATCGTATTAGTTGAAATCAGTTACACTGGGGGGAAGGAGTTTTTGTTTCATTTTTGACCAAGTTAAAATATGGCAAGATAGGGTTTTAATTTTTTTTGTTTATTTCTGTGAGAGGAGAGCTGATAATGTTATAATAAAACTGTTTTCAGATCTTTGAAAAATTCCATGAGTTTTTGTTTAAACAGACATGCGTGATATCGGTTGCCTACACAGCATCTGTCCTATGTGCTGTACGGTAGAGGGAATTTCTGCATTAGACAACAATTGTGCTGGATTAGTGCTTCTCAGCCAGGAGTGATTTTGTACCCAGGGGACATGTAATATCTGGAGACATTTTCGGTTGTCACAACTTGGGGGCGGTGATGGTGGGGGGCGGTGGTTGCTACTGATATGTAGTGGGTTGAGGCCTGGGATGCTGCTAAATATTCTACAATGTGACACCCCCCACTCCCACCCCCCAAAAGAATTATCCAGCCTAAAATGTTACTAGTGTTGAAGTTGAGAAACAACTGTGCTAGATAAACTCAGCCATTTTCAAACTAAGTGCCTGTGTATGGGATGAAGAGGTAAGAAATTCTAAATTACTGAGAACTTTGGAGAGTGAATAGGTCAGGACTAAATATGAAGCAGTGGTGAGGAGTGTAGGATCACATTAGGCTGGGGTGCCTGGAAAGAAGGACTGAGTAGTGGACAAAGTGTGCAGAAGGGGCTGTAGGAAAGCAGAACAAACTTGGCTAGTTCCACCATTTTCCCTGAGGGTGGATTACGTGCACACAGGTAAAAAGGTAAGGAAAGCTGATCTCTCCCTTCTTCCTCCCTCCTGTGCCTGATGATGGTCTCTTGTTCATAGGGCGTAGGGCTAATTTTAGGACAGCATTTCAACAATATTCTTGACAAAAATGGGCTTTATTCTGATTTATAACATTGGTAAATTGAAGGCCCTTTCTTCAATTATTTCTTTGTTAAAAGAGATAGAGCCATTGTTATTTTTAAAAAGTTATTCTGTGATTTTGGATTATAACAGCCAACATTAATATAAGTGCTTTCTGTGTGCCAGACACTGTGCTGATTCAGAGCTTAATCTCACTGAACTGTCATAATAATACTTTAAGATAGTTATTATATTATATGTTTTAACAATCAAAAAAGTCCCAGAGAGGTTAACTACCATCCTTAAAGTCAAACAGCTAGTAAACTAGAGTTGGGATTATGGTTTGATTCCATAGATTAAACTCTTAACACGAAATGATGGGCTGCTTTTTCCTGTTAAAAACAATTACAGTCCTTTCTCATCACATATTTTCCATTTATAGTTGCAGTTTTGATATCAGTAGGTTGTATATTTGGTTTCAGTTCTTGTTAGTGAAAGAATTTATATATGTTTGGAAACAGATATTCCATATATATTTGAAAGCTTTTAAAAATTAAAGCTGTAAAATATTCTATTTCCAAATGTTTTTTTCAGAAATCAATTGAATAAATTCAGTAACCAATTTGAGTAATTGGGTATGATTTTAGGAAAAATGATTTTCTTTTCCTTAAATTTAAAAGCTTAAGGGCCGGCCCGGTGGCGCACTGGATAGTGCGCTGCTTGGGAAGCGCAGCAGCGCTCCCGCCCGAGGGTTCGGATCCCACATACAGACTGGTTCCCGCTCACTGGCTGAGCGAGGCGCGGGAGCAACACCGAGGTTTGCGATCCCGTTGCCGGTCCCTGGTCCGGTACGGGGGCAACACTGAGGGTTGTGATCCATTGCCGGACACGGAAAAAAAAAGACAAAAAAAAAAAAAAAATTTAAAAGCTTGATTCCTTAAAATTAAAAGCTTGGTATTATTAAACTTTTTACAGATAAGATGAGATATTAAATATTTCCCTCTTAGCTTTAATCTCACCTAATATATCTGTGTAAAACATTGTACAAAATTAGACTATTGAAATTCTGTGTAATAGAAATATTAGTGTAAAAAAGAAGCTAGATCTCTACCTCTCTCATTGGGGGAATGTTGTTTCAAGGGAGAGGGACCATTCAGTATTTATCATACCTGTGAATCAATTAGATTGCTTTCAACATTTTATAAAAAATGTGTTTCAGTCCATCAGACTTTGACCTCTAATGCCAATAACTGTTACACGTATGTATATATTTCCTTTCTGGGAAGCTTCCAGTTAGGAACATGTGCCATCGTCTGGGAGTAGGTGGAGGAAGGGGGAACAGCACAGGTGACCAGAAGTGCTGACTCTTTTCACACTTCTTGTAGTGGGGGTGAGTGAGAAGGTGTCTTTTTTTGTTAATAAAAATATTGCTACTTTAATGTTTGTTTCATTTACATCTGCCAGCAGCTCAGTCTTTGGAGAAAAAGTATTGTAGTTGGAGGAGGGGAGGGTGTGGATAGCTGTGATGACACAGTTAGCCTTCCCTGTTGTTCCTCCAGTTTCCAGGTCTTAACCTGGTTTCCAGGATGTTCCTGACAGCAGCTTCATCCTCACTGAGTTATGACATATTCTTGGGCAACATTTAAGCCAGTGCCTTATTTTCACTTTTTTTCCCTCTGCAATCTAAGTTGTGATAATTGCTGGCTCCCTATGTGTATGTTTGCTGTGTTAACTTTTAAGTTACATACCTTGTATAGTTAAATATTAAATTTACAAGTTTAATAATAAAAGTTTGATTGATCTTAGGAGATGTAAGATGTAAGAAATACTGGTTTATGTGTGGTAAATTTTTTAAAGTGGGTCATTAATTAATAACTTCCTTTTGTCTTTAATGATTAAACGCAGCTTGAATAGTATCTTCTTTGTATTCCCAATAGGGTTTGATTCTGCAAAAATAAACAATAATGGTCTTGATATTTACTTATTTGAGAAATCTAGTTTTGCTGTTAAGTTCAGAATATATACCTCAAAGATTTTAAGGAGTAGCACTAACAGATATTAATCAAGTGTAAATATTGCAAATTATATGTAAAAAAATCTAATCTTTTTTACCATCTTACTTTTATGTTACTTTTTTGATGTGTGGAAAAGTGGGACACTAGCTGTGAACTCAGAGCCAAACATGCTTTTGTTGTTCCAAATTTTCAATGCCAGAAGCATATAAACCTGCACCTGTTGGTATTTATGAGCAAGCCAGCCTTTGCCAAATCCCAGGCCTCTGCTTAAAATTTTTTACTGGAACTAAATGATGTTGCCATTTTTATTTTTAGGTTTGCTATGCCAGCATGGGTAATCTCATTAAGGTGCTAACCAGGGACATAGACCACAATGCAGCACATTTTTTCTTGGATTTTGAAAGTAAGTCTCTTTAGCCCTTCACAGCTGGTGCGTAATGGTAAAGGTGAAAGATAATTATACTCACACCACAGTGAAGGCCAGCCAGAATATTTGTTAATGAAACATGGGACTCAAACAAAGATTGCATGATTTTTTATTTCTTTATCATAGGCAAACATCACCATCATATGTATAATTCTTTAGTTTTTCATTTGCTAAAATCATGTTGAGTCTGTAGCCAGTGCTGTCCTTTCATTAGTCCATGAAGCAAGTAGCCTTATGATGAACATTCTAATAGTATGCTTTAGTGACTATGTCAATCTGTTTGCTTATAATCCTATAATTTTATTAAAAAATGAGAATTGTGCTGCATATCCAGAATCAGTACTTTAAATAACCTCTACAAATCATTGATAATCCAAAATTGGTTAGAAATATATGCTGTGTGTAATGGCATACAGAAAGTAAGTTTTATATTCTGCTTCTTTAAGATGAGATGCGAAGGTGAACTGTGGCCAAACCTTTTAATATTACCTTTGAAATAAATTGTTCTTTCAATGCTATACTAACAAGATTACGTGTGAGTAATTCTTGATCAGAAATTTCTTTTTCAGAATACTAGCACTATTGGAATACTTAAAGAATTTTTCATTATAAGGCCATTAATGAAACTTGTCTTGGGAGAGTTTTGAGAAGAATTAGAGCAACACTTGTGCCATGTGTACAGGAAAACCACATTTCACCTCTAGGTCCTACATATCAACACCTTGAGGACCCTGTTTGCTGTCTACCAGAGCATTCTCTGGGTAACCTGAAGGACGAATTCATGGCCTAATGAACGTTTTCCCTGTTGTTATTTTTTTTAAAGTAAATTTTGGATGTTCTTTTTTATAAAGGGATATTTTCTCTTTTCTCATTCTTGTCTTGACAGGTACCTTAACATGGGGAATCTTCTTAAAGTTTTGACATGCACAGACCTTGAGCAGGGGCCAAATTTTTTCCTTGATTTTGAAAGTGAGAAGATGATTTTATATCTATTTCTCTTTGCCTGCAGTAGACTGCGTTTGTCTTGCACTAAATGAATGTTTCTACTTCGCCATCTTTTTTAACTGCTTTGCATGACTGAGCTATGAATTGTTTGAGTAAAATTTCTGGTGCCTTCTAGAACTGGAAGTCATATTTTATAGATTAAATTATGATGATAAAAATGTCTTTTTGAATTTTTAGGAGATTTCATATCTCAGAGATTATTTTATAATTTGAGATCTATTCTCTAATGAAACATTTTTATGAAAAAATTTTGGTGGAAAGGACAAGAGATCTATTAATAGAAGCAGTATGTGGGGAAAAATTTTATTGTAGTAGAGAAAATTGATTAGGTTTTAATTACTGTATGTGAATATTGAAGTGTTTAAAGTACAAATCTGTTCATGAAGGCCATTCAGAGCTCAGTAATTTGGGCATAATATTAAAAGGTAAGTGTGAACCTAAATTATTTAACCTTCGCAGATAATTTGAAAAGTTAAAAAATTAATTTTAGGTATTTATTTCAGGAATTTATTCTTTTCTAACTAAATAAAAAGAAAAATAATGGGTTCACAGACCTTTAAGTAATTTGCCTTCTGTTTGTTTTATGTTGCATGACCTATTGTAATATGGTCTAAGAGTGGCAGGTAAGTGTCATTGACCTCAGTGCATGTTGCAGAGCTTTTGCTTTTTTGGCTGTTGGTATCGCTTTAGCTTGTCTGTTTGTCAAATTGAGAAAAATGATATTAAATTGGTGTTTTAGTGTGAATGTTGCTGTTTTAACTGATAGTTAGAAAATTGTAGGAAAGGGTGAAGAGCCTTTAAAAGGTTTTAAATCATGTAATCCCTTATATTTTTATCTGTGGTTGAAAAATTTGAACAGATTTTTAAATACTTAAAATTTAAGACTTTGTCTGATTTTAAGAACAAAACAAGCAAATCCCTTAAAATAAACCCCAAGAGAGTAATTGTCTTTTCCTCCAACTTCAGTTTAGTTTTTATAATTTTATATAACTCATTACATTTTATGAATCATTTCTATATTTTTTTCTTTAAACTAGGACAGTTTACATGAACACATCAATTTATAACTTATCTCTATTTTACAGAATAACTGTGGTCTCTGATATTTTTCTACTTTTATACATTCCTGTATATAATCTGTTACAGTGTGAGTACTGTGTGCAGGCTAGTAAAGAGTAGTAATGTCAATATCAGGACCATGTTCTATTGTTGGGTTTCTAGGGGAAAATGTTATTAGATGAATATTAGTTTTCTTGACCCTTCTCAACAATTTAACAGTGCTGTCTTAAGTGCATGTTTAGCATGAATTTTAATCAGCTTGGGGATGTTGAGCAGATTGCTGATTTGAAGATTATTCTTTCAGATGAGGCAGCTTACATTAGAGCTGTATTTTAGTTTATTTGCATCTGTTTCAAACTTGGTCTTATATATCTTTCTGCTATTCTGTTTCCATTTTCCTCTTTGTTTCAAATTCCTTACATTTGCATAATCTTGGCTTTGATATAGTCAAGATCTTGTTCAAGACTTGGCACTTGATCTTTTTATTAACCTAGCATTATGCTCTGGTCAAGTGGGAAGAATGAATTTAAATGTAGTATTTATAGATTATTTGATTTTGGCTTTCCGATCTGTGGAGGGTTGGATCATTATCCTTATAATTTAAATAGCTAATTTAGTGGCAGAAAAAGGTTAAAATCACTAACAAAAATAATAACCAGTAATGTAGAACTACATATGAAGTGTTAACTTTTTAAAGGCAGGTATAAATTTTAAAATATTTGTTGCCTATATCAGCCAACACAGAACTTTTGGTTTGACACTTACTGGTATGCTGTAAATGAAATTTAGTGAAGCATGCTCTATACCAGGCTAGAGTTTGCTCCTTGTTATTTCTTATTTAGAATTTTAAATATGTTTTCTTTGATTCTAATAACATTGGCTTTCTCTTAATTTTACCTCTCACTCTTTGCATATTTTTCTTCTTTTTGGAAATATACATTTGTAAAAGCCTACCTTATCATTAGGCTACTGTAGTGAACTTGGCCCATCAGATGTATTCTCTTACACTGTTCTATACCTGATTCAAAATTCCCAACACAGTTAATTTGCCAGTTCCACATTCTTTATATTGGAGTCATTAATACTACACTGGTTATTTCTAGATGCACAGCAACATTCAGGTCACCAGAGTAATTTAGTTATACTATTTCCATGATTCTAATTGGTTAAATCTAGCCCAGTATGTTTCCATAGTTGGGCAGCTATAGAAATAATTCCTTGCAGATATACCTGGCTTTTTGTATCAGATTGTATACCAATTAAGCATTCTAGTGCATTTGAAAAGTGATTTAATGCAATTTTATAGTTCATAAAATGAAGACTGTCTTTAAAGTAGATCGTTACTTCCTTAATTACTCTCCTCTCCCATTCTGTTTTTCTTTTCAGTTCAGTGTACATTTGTGGCTTGCCTCCTTCCTATATACCAGCCAATAGGTGCTGGGGATGCAAAGATAACTAAGATACAACCCCTACCTTCGGGGAGCTCTCAATACAGAAGGATAGATAGAAATGCAAACTCATAGCCTATATACCAGCCAATAGGTGCTGGGGATGCAAAGATAACTAAGATACAACCCCTACCTTCAGGGAGCTCTCAATACAGAAGGATAGATAGAAATGCAAACTCATAATTTTATTTACATAATTTACCTTCAAGGTGTACATCAGGAAGGTCATAGTTTTATTTACATAATTTACCTTCAAGGTGTACATCAGGAAGGTTATTAACTTTACCTAGCAATGAGTAGTTTGGGGATCATGATGGAAGGTGGTGGTGTTTGGGATTTTGGAAGGTGAATTAGAATGTTTCAAGCTAATGTAATGAAAGACACTGTGGAAAGAAGTCACATGGACAAAGGCCTTAAGGCATGAAATGTCATTCTGTGTTCAGTGAAACATTGTTCCTTAGATAGAGGGATTGTTTTCCTTAAATTACACCTATATGATAAGATATTATTTTATTTTACTTTTTTTGGTGGCTGGCCTGTCAAGGGAACCAAACTCTTGACCTTGGTGTTATAATGCTGTGCTCTAACTGACTGAGTAACCGGCCAGCTTTATTTTGATTTTATTTAATAATAGTTCAATTGAGATATAAGCCCAGAATTGCTCCATAAAATTTGGCAGCAGTTAAGCTGATTAGCAGCATATAGAAAGCACTGAATGAGGGCCTGTATAGCCTCTTATAGTTCTTACATTTTTCTGCTGTTTCATAACAACATTGTTAATTTATATCTCCTCCTTAATGACAGGTCTTTAGCCTGAGTAACTACTAGATCTTCAGGTTCACTAAATTCTGGTTCTTGGGAGAAGAGGGACTTTATTTTTGTGTCTCTTCCCAATTTTAGCAGAGTGCTTTGGAAATGATAGAAGTTCAGTATTTGTTAATTAAACTTGATTTATCTCCAGGTAGATCAAAATAGAATAATTAGAGGTAGTAATTTAAATGAGAAATAGAATCTATTTTCTCTGATTCTTTGTTACAGTGTCTTTCCACTGAATCATACATTTCTTCTATTTCTTGTGTCTTTTGTGTTACCTGTTTCTTCCCATCATTTAAAAATATTGGTACTCACTCTTAAGTCTGACTATTTTTCCATTTTATCTCTTGCATATTTTCAACTGCTTTTGCCCTATACTTTGAAATATCTTTATTCTGGTGATGTCTTTCCTATGTTTTCTAAAATGGATTAAAATATAATCTTACAAGATTATATTTGTTCAGAGATCAAAATGCATAATAGCCTCCTTTATTTCATGCTGGAGGCTTATGTTACTCTGCCTTCTCATTCATTCAAGAAATATTTATTATTGAAAACCTACTCAGTTTACGAACTGGGCCAGTGGTATGTACTATATACATTTTGGTCCTTGCTTTGATGAAACTTAAGGGATAGATTGTAAATATTTATTGAATGAATGTAAGATTAAAGGAGAAAGACCCGTAATCACAATTATAATTTTTATGTTGACTTGTTTTTTATTTTTTCCTTTCATAGCTAATCTTTGCCTTCTTTTGTATCATAATAACTTCAAATTTAGCACTTATTTTTAGTGACTCTTTTACTCTTCATTCTGTAGGAAATTGGCATGAAATTATTAAAATATTTAATTTTATCTTCAGATAATAAGAGCAATAGATACATGCCTTGATTTCCCTTGCACAGCTTTTAAAACCTAGTTTGATGAGTAATCAGTATGTCTGCTCTCAGTAGTAGATAGATTATTTCGCAATCAAATGAATGTCCTTTTGTAAGCTGGCTAAGTGGTACAGTTTTCTTGAGATAGGAAACCTGTTCTTTGCTATGAAAAATCAAAGTGACAAGTCTTGGTTACATTATATAATACCATTTTTTGAAAAAAAAAAAAGCTTTATCTTATACAGTCCTTTTTCTTTGCTAGTATTTCAACCTTTTGCATGACTTGCTGTCAGTAAAGTAGTGCTTTACCTGTCTGCTATTTTCTGTTTGTCTTCATTTCTACAGCAGTCTTCAGCAGCTTTCAAAATTATAAATGTGACTTTCCTGTGACAGTCTAAAAATGTTTAATCAGTGTGGTGCTGGGTGTTTTTCCCACCCTTAGGGAATATTCTTCTTTATTTTTAAATTTCTTGGTACTTATTAAACCTTTGCTACTTATTAACCACTTTCAAGGTCTATTTTAGTCTACTTGATAATGTTATGTTTGTATGTAAGTCTCAGTGTCACATTTTTATGTTAATAGCTAATCACTACACCAAAAATGCATAGTTCAGTATTTTCAAACTTCACAAATACCTTTGATATATAATAGATAGTTAAAATATTGTCCTTTGTCATGAATTCCCACTCCATAAATTCAAACTACAGTATGTGTCTACTATTGATGTTATGTCTGTAGTTCCTCAATTCCATATGAAAAAGTATAAAATAATCGTTTTTGCATGTAAAAAGTATTTTTCTCTACTGCATCTGGTGTAAGTATAAAAGTTATGAGGTGTGCTTTTTTAAGTGTATGTCCATCTTTTTGGAAAATATGGTCTGGTTAAATGTGAAAAAGTATTTCTGCTAAATGACAAGCTCTGATTTTTAAAAAACCTAATCATTTAGCTACAATATTAGTATTTGCCCCTAGTACAACCTTTGGACACAGAGTCTTTGTAATTTCTCAATTGGCTCTTCTGTAATTATTTTGTCATATTATTTTCATTCTAAAAAAAAAATACGTGATTTCTGAAAAGAAATTTGAAAATTAAGGGAACAGATATGTCAACAAATTCTTAAGTCGGCTTTGCACCTGAATGTTACTTTATAATTGTTGCTGTAGTACTGTTTTTGTACATTAAATTTAAAATTTGGTACTGTACTTGTTGATTAAAAAAAGTATGTTACCTATATTTGACTAGTTGGCAGGTTTAATAAGTGGGATTGGATTATGACTTGCCCCAAGCACAAAATAAACTTAGTTTTTGTGCATCTTTATTCCTAGCTTCATGTGTGAATTAAGTTTCTTCTTACATTTTCTAAGTGAAGGAATAAGTAGATTATTGTGTATTTGAGGGGAGATGAAGTAGATGCAGAATAGTTTAGGTATTTTTGTGCATCTTTATTCCTAGCTTCATGTGTGAATTAAGTTTCTTCTTACATTTTCTAAGTAAAGGAATAAGTAGATTATTGTGTATTTGAGGGGAGATGAAGTAGATGCAGAATAGTTTAGGTATTAGTTTTATGATCGATAGACAAAGAGATTTATCAGAAACATTCCTAATTAATCTTACAAATTCGGACTGCCTCCCTTTTCCCCAGAAGAGAATATAATAGCATGCAGAAATTTTGCCAGCATGATTCTTCTCTAAAACATGGTAATCATAATGTTTGTCATTTTAAGTACTTTATGCCTTATCTGTAGTGTTGAATGTGGTCTAATTGGAAAGATTTATGAAAAAGTTAGTTTCCTTGTGGAAAAAAAAATCAAATATATTTAATAAAAAAGATTTGTTCTAAGAGAAACAAATGACCAAGTTATTAAAAGCAGGATTTCTGTTAACCTCCGGTCTAGCAGAGAGAAATCCAGATTTAGTGATCCATTAACGTATGTTTTGTGGCTGACACCACAGGTGGTGAAAATGCCTGTATGTTTGTGTTCCTGATTATGCCTTTTATAACTGTAACTTTCCCTTTGTTTTTCTCTCACTCAGTCCCAAGTGTGCAGGAACTCAGTTTTCGCTTTAGTATTTCTACATGTCAGTAATAATATTGTAATGTTGCTTAGAGTGTATCTAGTTGTCAGCAGCTCAGTAAATCTGGAGCAGGAAAGTAATTTAAAGAGGAACTCAGTTTTCGCTTTAGTATTTCTACATGTCAGTAATAATATTGTAATGTTGCTTAGCGTGTATCTAGTTGTCAGCAGTTCAGTAAATCTGGAGCAGGAAAGTAATTTAAAGTCCTCTGCACAGGAATCTTGACCTTTCATTCATCAGCAGAGAAGTTCAGTGATACTGCCTTGGGTTTGGTCTTAGATGTATATATCCTCTCCCTTCCTTAACCTTTATCATCATACATGTTGAGACAGAGTTTAAAGTGATCCCTAGAAAAGAGAATCTAAAAACCATTCTTTTATAGGTTACTTTTTTAAATATAAAAACTCAACCATTAAAAGTAAAATGAACTTTATAGGAAAATAAAGTTTCAGTTTTAAATTATAGATGAGCAAGATATTTTAATAGGCTTTTATTTCTATTGCATTAAAATCATAACTGATGCATTTGCAGTCATCAGTGATAGTGATGAATATAGTAGAAAAAGTGACTAAAACTATCACAATTAAAATTTCCAATTATAATTCTGTTTGGTTTAATATACCAAATCATAATTTGTTTTAATTTACACTAAATATAATATTTGCTGTTCCCTTGCTTCTCTGTGATATTTATAAACTTGAGACTAGCTGTTCAAATATAGAACTATGGAGAAATCATCGGTCTTTTCTAAGAAGTGCAAAATTAACATCAAATAGAGTATAACTCATCTTTGAAAATTTGGATTTTTATGTATGTATTCTTTAAAAATTCATTTCACTGTAAATTTTCTTGTGCTTTCCTGCTATTTAGATGCCCAGCCTACAGAGTCTGAGAAGGAAATTTATAATCAGGTGAATGTAGTATTAAAAGATGCAGAAGGCATCTTGGAAGACTTGCAATCATACAGAGGAGCGGGCCATGAAATACGAGAGGTAAAGCACGTTCGTGCGTTTTGCAGTAAACTAAAATTTACTATATCCTGCCTCTTTTTAATCTGTTTTGTTTTCTAGATTTTAGAATTATCTATTTCATATTAAGCATTATATTTGAAGGAAGATTTCTTGGCGTTATTTCAAAAGTGGTTGCAGTGATATGAGGTTAAAAGGAAAACTGTTCCATAAATGTGTAATTAAGGTATATTAAAGAAAATTTTATTTATTTTTTGGTTGCTCTCACACCTGAAATTGATAATATCCATGGGGAGCTCTATTTATACTTTTCTCTTTTTTTGGAGAGAATATAATTTCTGTGGCTTTGTTCTGCCAGTCTGTTTTTTCCACACCTCCTAGGCTTCCTAGGAGAAAGTTGAAATCATCCTTGCAGTCTAGACCACAGACCCCAACACGCCCACTTCCCCACCCTGTGACCTTACACCTCAAAGAAAATATTTGGTGTGGTCTCCCTCAACTTCCCTCACCTAAACCTCTGAGCTTCCATCCATCTCTTTTTCCATTTCTATTTTTAAGAAGAATCTGCGTTCCTACTTCTTTCCAAGACTGACTTCTCTATTTTTGTTCTCCATCCAGTTCTGGAACTTTACTCTTATAATTATTCCTTCTCTTCATTACATCTTCCATCTTCTTTCTTTTAACTTCTTCCCCTCAGCATATACATACTCAGGTTTCCTGTGCTACCCAAGGAATCTCCACAGCTTCTGGACCTTAATCTAGTCTCTGTTTTCTTATTGCCATGTTTCTTGAAGGTAGCCTTCATTTCTTTGAAAGTGTCCTATATATAAACTTTTCTACATTGTACTTTCTTTTACTATTGAATCTTAATATGCTTCCAATTAAATTTATATACAGACTTTGTAGGAAACACTGTTTTTAAGGTAGGAAGCCTTCCCACAAACATAAGCAGAATAACCCTTCCACTGGGAAGTATTACAATTAAAAAATCCTAAGACTAAGGAAGGAAAGAAAGAGAAAGAGAGAACCATAATAGTGCCTTGAACTTTCAGAAGGAGAGAGCAAACCTAAGGATACTAGAAATGGGGAGGAAGGGAAGGAGTTTGGGGAGTGATAGGTCGGGCAATGGGCATAAAGAAAAATCGCTGTTTGTAATAATGAATATGCTAATAATAAATAATAAAAATTAAAAAAAAATAGTTAATGAGTGTTTCTTCAGTTTTCCCACCCTCTGCTTCTAGTAATTTTCTCTATAAAGAAATGGTGCAGAGGTCCTCAAGCAAGGACCAGTCTTTTGGGCTTATAGTTTGTATCCAGCTTGAGTTCTCTTTCAACATTTGGAGTACTAATGAAGGCAGAATAAAGTGCAGACACCAGAAGGTGATGATTCTACAGATGTTTTGGTGATTGACAGGATGTTTAGTGGAAGGAAGAGTTAAATGATGCCATGGTTTTTCTCTAGATTAGCATATGGTGGTGTCATTGACCAAGGGAAATTATAGATAATGTGAATTTCATTTCTGACCTCTCCTGCACTGGACGGCTGTTCCCTGCATGTCTTGCACATGCACCATTCCTTGCCTTTTTGTCTGGAATGCTCTTTCTTTTCCTTATGTTGTGTCCTTCTTTTAAATTTTGATAATCTTCTACTTCTTACTCTTTTGCCCTAGGACTTT